TTGTGCCCAAATTTAGAAAGGTGACTAAAGCAGAGAGAAACACTGGAAGCAGCAGAAGTAGTTACTACAATCTCTTCCTTCTTCCAAGTTATCTCCTAGTGCCTCTGTTAGGCTCTTCCTAAAGTCTGTGGAAACTGCTCAATTTGTTTCTCTGTGTTGCTAGAAAATGAAGGGATGGACAGGCGGAAAATATGTATGCAAGAGAAGAAAATGGGCATGCAATTCCTGGAGGGTTGAGTTTTCTCACTCATTTTTTAGAGATAAGAAGAGCGTGTTTATTTTCTTACAACAAAAAAGGACTTTGATCACATTCATGCCCTACTCCAAATTGTCTGTGTTGTCCAAATGCTCCCTAGTGCTCTGGAGCACATCTGAAATATGTCAGCTGGTACAGCTGGGAGAGAAGGGAGGTAACTTCTGGCATGGCAAACTTCAGACAGCATTCTTCCAAGAGAGCAGAGGCATAATGACCCTTACCCTTCCTAGGGATTAAGGGATCTTCACACTGCTTACTGACCAGACTCTGCCCTTCACATAACTCTTGAAGAAGGTTCATCTCCGTAAGAGCCTATATTTTCTGGCTTTCCAGAGGCTGATACTCTTGCATAAAATATTTGGCTGGCAGAAATGGCAAGTTACAATGTAAAGTTGCAGGGTATGAAAGGATAAGAAAAGCAGTAGAAAAGACTGCAACAAATATGTTCTTGTTTTCACGGGCTATTGAGGGGGCTGCCCCAGACAGAAAGTGATTTGAAGTTGCTGAACAGTTGTTGACTGCTTCTTAATGTCTGACAGAGCCCTACCAGTCTGCACTGCATCTCACCAGGGATTCCAGACTACCAAGAAGTGATAAGAAAGGAGAAAAAAATAAAGAGTGGAGTATTGAGAAATTGAGGGAACAAAATTAGAGGTAGACTTCAATTTATGATTTGGAAGCCAAAGAGAGCTCTCCAGGTGATTGAGCAAGCTGCTTTTGGTTGCAGTATCGCTCCTTACAGCTTTGAGTGGCCAGCTTCTAGATTGCTTTGGTTTGTAGTCACGGATAAGCACTCCCTCTGGAAATCACTGAAAGCAGCCTACCACATCAGCTCACAAGCTTATAAAGTTATATTTTAATTGTGTTATTAAACCTTTCTCACTTTTATTTTTGTCTGTTTACCTCCCTGATTCATCTGGATCAAGCTGTGCTGGAACAGAAATGTCATTCCTCCCGAATTGTGCTGTTTATTTGTAATAGGAATGTAATGAGTATGGGTGAAGCCCACTGCCCAGAAGCAAACTGAAATTGATCTTACTCTTTCTATTAAAGGGCTGAGGTTGGAAGTGCGGTAGGGGAATACTAGAGAAATGTGCTTTGGCAGAAGGAAAAGAGTTTTGTTCCTGTTTCATTTGGTATAAAGCATCCAGACACAGGTTGATGGACAGAGGTTATAATCTCTGCTCTCACCTTAACTATTTCCTTCCTTTCCCAACCCTGTTCTTTTTTTTTCTGATTTGAAATTCATCTTTTTCTAGCTTAAGGGACTCATTTTGATGGGTTCACTTAACACTTCCATCAGAAAGGCTACACTAACATTTGAAAAAATTAAATATACTCTTTTGGCTCTAGAACTAGTCAGACAGTGTTACTACTGGGACTGGGACTGGGAGAGGAACTGTAGATGCTACTGGTTTTTTTCCTTTATAATTCTTTTATAAGCACTGTATATTATTTTCCTTTGAGTAAATTACTGAATTTTCATTTTAATTACATCTGGTCACAGTTGCGTTCTAATCCTCTTTTGTGACAGAAGTCCTACAAGATAGAAGCTCCCCTTGTATCTTTGAGTCCATAAGTGCTTGCCTTTAAAAAATGCCCATGCTTGCCAGATATAATTCCTAAAAAGCATAGGAAATAATAATGTTCTTGCCCAGAGTGAGATGCGGCACTGACCCTTCAGACACCTTCAGCAGTTATTGGTGCAGTCAGTTTTACTGCAGTCTCTGTTCTTTATCATTTGGTTCCCCTCACACACAGTTGTATGACATTACTCAAGGAAGATGGCAGAGAGGTGAGCTCTGGGGACTTTTTTGAAGGTTTTATGGCATAGAATAGATCACTGGTTTGTTAGCACAAGCAAACAATTAAATTAAATAAATTATTAATTTTATTGAATAAATTGACTCAATAATACTCCTAAGCCTGAGCGCACCCAGATTCACAACTGTGCACATGTGATTCTAATTCTGAGGGAAGCTTACTACACACAGACTTACGTGTAAGGTGTTGAACAGGAACAATGAGATCTACTGCTGGTACCTGAATGAACTTATTTTGCCTGAATATTTCAAGATATTTTTAGTTTTCCTACAATAACAAATGAACCTCAGCTCTTTGATCACCTTGATCTTACAGCAACAGAAGAGAAGTAAAAAAAGAGAAAACAGTTGCCATCTGTCATCTCTGGCTAATTATTTCAAGCCCTACCTTGTTTTATACGCTGCAGCACGCTATTTTGGGACTTGTTAACTGAGAAGTCTTCTACTCTGCAAGAGTATAAATGAGTTCACCTTTAGCAAGTTCCCCACTGCTCAGCCCACTTGTGCCGTCATTTCATACAACCTTTCTGCCAACCAAATGACATAATTAATTAATTCAGGATTCTATCCTGCTCTCCTGGTTGCACTGGCTTTCCTGTGTAAGACTCTCTTTTGTGACCTTTTTTTTGTGGGTCAGTGGGAAAGGACAGGGAATAGGACTGCATTCCTCCGAACTCTTGTTAGCGGTCCAACACCTTGACACTGGCTCTTGTGTAGTTTTTTGAGTCAGCCAGTAAACGGAGGTGCTCTCTGCAAATGTGGAGGGACCCTATCAGGCAGCAGGGTATTCATCAGAAAAGCTGTTCGCTCTGCTCTTGTGAGAAGCAACACACAACATGTTTCTTCAGAGGGGACCCAGGAGCTCTCTGGTTCTACCTACCCTGTGGGCATGGCATCCCAAAGAACCACACAGAGTGAGGAATCAGCTTCATTACCCCAGACTTTCCCAAAAATTACTCTTGTGCCTTGAGATGTGGATTACCTAAGCACAGGCCACCTTTCTTTTTTTTTTTTTTTTTTTCCCCCCATTATAACTGAACTACTTGAGTGTTCCGGGTTAATCAAAACTTGGGTTTTTATTTTAATTCCCTTGCTGATACTGTTACTACTTAATCATTAGTTTTTAAAGGTTAAGGTGCACCAGGCAGCATAAAATAGAAACTATCCTCATTTTTTAAGTACTGACAGTTGTCATACTCACTATCTTTCATTTTTATAAACAAATGTTTGGAGGATCTTTTAGTTCCTTCAGCAAGTTTTTTTTTTTTTTCCATATAATTGGAAAGCAAGTTTCCAGATAAATTTTAAAGTCTAGATATGTTGAAACAGTGTGATTAAGGTCTGAGTTAATCAACAGGAAAGAAAGAAGCAAGCTTTCAGGATATACTAAAATTTCTCTAAAAAATTGGATCCTTTTGTTCTTTTTAGAAAGCAAGGAGGGAAATGAAAATTATCTTTCTGTGGCTGTTTTTTGTTTTGTTTTGTTTTGTTTTGTTTTTCAATAAAATGGCTAAATAGCTTGAGCTAAAATCCTGGATTTGAGCATTTTGAGCTTTAGTATCCTTGGAGATAAACTGCGGTATTGTGCTCCACAAGAGTAAGTTTTTTTTTATTTTGGAAGTAAGAACTGCAAGTGTAGGAAATGAGGGTATTTTTTTGGCAAACCCTACAAAAAGACGACTAAACATCATTCCAAGACTCTGAACTTTGCTGTGGGCATCCATTTAAAAACAACATGTAAAATCAAACTCAGTGATTACACTGTGGCTGTGTGAATTTGTTCTGATTTTAAAAGACTTCCAAATATTCAATCAAGTTGGAATCAGGGTTAAACATTTTGTAAAAGAGTTTTATATGCCTGGATTACATTCACTTCACTGGCCATCCCTTGATTTTAGCCAGGACAAACAGCAGAGCAAAGCTATTTTTGCATCAGGCTCATCTAAACCTAGTAAGAGTAGAGAGCATGTGCAGAACCCTGGGGGACTCAAAAGAGGAATTCAAACCATTTTTCCAAGATTGTTATTTTTTTCATTTACACACTGTGTGAAAAAATAGTAAAAGAATCTCGTTTATGTCTTTCCTACACTGGCAGCACTCTTAAGATGAAAATTCACGCACATTATTCAGAGAAAATCAATAGGCTGCAAGAACCAAACTAAATCTTAGTCTGTCTTTATTTTTTTACCTAATTACTTTCTTACTTTGAAATATATTACAATATTTCATACGTTACTGAAAGCCTTAGGATTAATGAATGACATTTCTTCTACATACCTGCCACTTGAAATAAAGTCAAGGAAAAAAGAACAGAGGGTATATTCAGGAGAAAAGTAGAAGAGAATCTAAGCAAAATATGGAAAAATGAGTCATTACTTTAACTTATACTACATGCTGCATAGAAGCGTAAACTAGAATCAGTAATAACTCCCCCATCCTTTCGATATTCTGTACCCATGGCAGTGAGAAAATCCTTACTTCAGGACACTTAAGATTAATGAAAACCTGATAAAGGAGAGAGAATATATACATACCAGCAATTAAGAAAGGTCGGTGAGCTGCCCAGATAACTGTGGTATCAACAGTGAAATGCAGTGCATCAGTATTGTCAGAACTACTCCATCAGAAAAAAACATTAACTGGTAGAAGGCAGCTGTGGATTTTGCAGCTTCTTAAACAACTTTCAGTTGTTATGCACGTTATCACAATTATGCAAGTTTTTAGAATTATTACAGGCTTGGATGAGGCAAGCATCTAGAATACTATAGTAAACATATCTGCTGTTAATCCCCTACTTCAGAAAACATAGTGGAACTGAACAATGAGAGACTACAGACTGACATGAAGAAATGAAACATTGTTATTGACATCAGAAAGTTAGAAAGAAAGCATAACTTCACAAAACATCATTTGTTAGTTACCTGTCCCAAAGAGTAGGTGAAGATTTTGCGAGCCTGCCCTGGAGAATTCTAGGTTGCCATAGGCAGGTTGGCACCCAGGAATTTCGTACCCTGTAGCATGAATAGAGGATAAACCATGGCTAGGTATGGCTCACAAGACATACGAGTGATAACCTAGCTAGATTTGCTGCATATTAGTAGGCTATGGCATAATTTGGTATTAATTATTATTCAGGATATCTTACTTTAAAGCGGTATTAAAACTACAAAACAAAGTGATGCTACAGCACCCTCATTTAGTGACTTTCTTGTATGACTACTGCAGGTCAGAATAAGCATTTACAATTGACCTTATGATGGCTGTAAATGAATGCTACTCCATCTATTTTACTGGAGAAGCATTTGGCCTTCCGATTTGTGAATCAAGCTCTTATATTTTTACATTGTAAAAACATCAGCTTAAACAAATTTATGCTTCCTTGAAAGAGGGTCATCAAAATTCCTTCTGAGCACCATAGTGAGAATATGTTTAACAGTGTTAATTGAATCTGGGCTGAGGTTCAAGTTCTGCATACCAGGTTCCATGCTCATCTACCATCGGCAGAACAATAGATGCAAAATGTTTGCTGGGAATAAAAAGCACAAAGAGAAACAATCTGAACTAGCAATAGAAGCTATGAATAACACACAGCAAAAGCAGATCCTGAGCCCAGAAGAAGGCCAGTGAGGCAGGCAAATTAGCAATGAGAACTGTTGTCCAACATTAGCGTCAAGCAATGCTGGTAAGATTCAAAACAGCCTGTTCAATCCTTAGTGAAGCAAATTCTCACTGAACTCGAAGGTGGTTTTTCCTGAGTAAAATCTGAGTAAGGACTACAATATTTGGACATACAGAATGCCTCATACAGTATTGCTGTCTCCTTCGCAATATCAGAAATGCAACATAACCTACCTGGAAGGACAAACTCATAAAAAAAAATCATCTTTTCCTCACTCAGGCACTTCCATATTTATGAACCAGAATTTTTACATCAGCTTTCCCTGTGGTCAGTGATCACTAAACATGCAGAAAATTCTACCTTCTAGTGTTCACCATTACCAGTGGGTACTGCAAAGTAGGGACCTTCTGGTTCATGAACAGATCTTTATATATAGGACACATTTCAGGAACAACAGCTGTGCTACAGAGAGCAGCAGAGCAGTGTTTATTGGAAAGGACAACCCTGCATGCTACTTTAGTTGTACCACTGAGTTGTTCTTGCGTAAGGATCACTTAAGTATCTTTTAACTTTTTTCATACTGGACTTGGATTAAGTATGTGAAGACACCCAAGGAAGACAAAAAATGCGAGGCCCCAAGTTTTAAGTGTTTCCATCACATGAATTTACATCAATATCAGCTTTAAAACCAAAGTGGGAGATGAGAATAAATCTCTGGATTCTAACACCTCAGTGTCGTCAGTTCTTCACTGGACAGCCAATATTACTTTGGATTATGCATCTCTCACAGCTTTTCTGATGTTCTCAAACTGCAAATCTCATAATCAATAGGTGTGTACATATTTATTACACACAGTTCTGCAGTACTTAACTATGTATTTTCATTCTCAACTAGGGTGTGAGGAAAACAGTATATTGTAGGAACAGTGGTTTTGAAATGGTCTTTGCCTGGCTCTTCATTTTGTATCTGGATACTTTAAGTTACAAAATTGTAAACTGCTCCTAAAAGTCATCTGTGAAACGTTAATTTAAAAAAAAAAAAAAATCCAGGAATTCAGCCACAGGTCTTTCTAGAATGAGTGAAGATTTTTCAAACCAGTGCATTTTGCATATTTCTCTGCACTTCACTGAGAAACCCTCCATAGGAGTCTTCTGGTGAAACAACTAAACTTGCAAATTCTGAGGTGGTTTAGATGAAAACATTAGACTTTTCAAGCCTGCAAAATTAATTAAATTTGGGTTCTTGGTACAAAGAAGCCATTTGAACAGGGATAAATATCTACTGCCTTCAGATCCATTACCAGGTCTTCTCCATGTAGTCTTAATCTAATCTATCTCATACCTTTAACTGATATATAACAAATAGATTTGCTATAGATATACTTGACAAAATACTTTAAGGCTGTGAGGTTGTGAGATATTCTGGCAGAGGTGGGAGGAGTGTAAATTCCACTTTAGATGATTTTTTAAGTGTTCTTTCTGACATCGTTTTGGTAGTAAGTCCCATGTAATTGCTCCATAAATGAGCTAATACAGAGAAAAGCTCTCTGCTCTAAATGTTGTGGATCTTTCAAAAGCTCCCCAAAGGGATTTAATAACATCCTGTCTCAGATAATCAGTGTCAGTTGTAGTCAGTCTAATCCTATTCTCATATGCAAGGTCGAAAAATAATTAGTAAAGCTAAGATTTATTTGCCTGATATTAAAACACAAAAATTAATTTACCAGCCTCCGCAGTTTACATGGGATGTTGTTTTAGCATTGGCAAATCAGAAATCAACAAAACAGACAAAGATGTTTGTCTAAAGCAATTGCAAATTTAAAAGAAAACAATATGGGAAAAGCTCCCAGTTCCATTACTGTGTTGTTTCCTTTCTTGAAAGGAAAACAGTTGTAAGAAATTTATAAGTAATGAAAATAAGAAATCAGCCTATTTAAAAACAATATCATATAGTTACTTCAGAAAATTAGTAGTTTACTACAGCAAAAATATCAGTCCCAAAACCCTGATGATAAAGTATTTCAGATTATCAAATTTTAGAACTTCTTATTCAAGCCATAGCATGATAAAGTAACTCATTTTCCTTTTCTTTCTGCAGAGCTTCCCTTACACTTCACTGATGTGATTGAGACCGACTCCAGTGTCAAGTGAGGTTCAAATTTGGACATACTGTTGTAATAGTTTGTGTTTCTTTGTCTTGTCCTAGAATATGCAGTATGTTACTTCAAATGTTGTCTGTGGCTCTTCTGAAAATAATCACAGAAGGTACTTACAGACCTATAGCCAATTTGGAAAAAAAAAAAAAAAAAAAAGATTTCCCAGTATTTCTCAGTGAAACATTATCAACACTTTATTCCACTGTCTAGAGAAGAACAGCTAATATAATTCATTAGTTTTGGTGACAGATGGTCATTGATCCACTGAGCCTAGAGTAGACTCATGCAGACTGCTATGCCTATTTAAGAGATAAATTCTTACTTTGGTAAAAAAAGTAAATGCAAAGCCCCTTATGCTCTCCTCTCCATATTTTATAGGTGAATAAATTTTTTTTTTAGTTCTCTCTGGAACTGCAGCTGAAGAGAAGAGTGGGAATCTGTGAGAGAAACCACTCTACAGACACCCAGGTCAGTGCAGAAGGAAGAGAGGAAGTGTTCCAGGAGTGGGAGCAGAGAATCCCCTACAGTCTGTGGTGCAGACCATGGTTAGGCAGCTGTGACCCTTCAGCCCATGGAGGACCCCATGTATGGTAACTGGTGAGTGATGTCTCCCTGTTCTTCTCTCCACCCATGAGCCTTTCATTATATTTTTTCTCCTCTTCTTGTCCAGCTGAGAAGGGAAGTGACAGGATGGCTTTGGTGGGCACCTGGTGTCCAGCCAGAGTCAACCCCCAGCAGTAGCATACACATGTCCATTTTACAAATGTCAGTTGCAAATCTAAATGGTTTTTCCCAAATAATGTGTTTTTCAGAAGTTGGAGAATTCTGTGGCTGCTCCACTTGTGAGTGGAAGACTCAGTGAATAGATTTTAGCCTTTACGCAAAAGTCACCCCAAATCTTACATCTGTTAAAGGGAGAAGGATTTTCTGTAAATCAGGAAGGAATCTGTCCTGGTCTGATTTTAGCTTACAATCTGTGCTTTTTTAAAACCTGAAAGGGATTTGAAAGTCACCCTTAAACTGGGTTGTGCTATTATGATTTCCGTACTTGCCCAATTTAGCCCTATTTTACCCCAGTATGAATGAGTTAAGAATCGCTATTTTTGCTTCTATTAACAGCATAAAGCTATTTTAAGGACCTGCTTTTATAAATACTAATAACCTGAGAGGAAACATTGGCAGAGCAAGCTGGAATAACCATGGGGACACCTTGGAACACACCGTCACGACTCTACCTCTACATCCCATCCTCATTGAGAAGGCACGTGGCAGTGGTGCTGATTTAGCATCGCAGACTTGCAAGATGCTGTCAGCTGCACTTGCTACTTTCCTACCAGTCATGCCAATGTAGGTAACTGGCTGTCATCTCCACAGAACAAAGGCTGGAGTAATAAAAAATGTCAAATAATCCATTTTCTGTGAGGGGGTGGCAGTTCTATTCCTGGAGTTACCAGAACTATCCATGACCACAGTATTAAATAATGTAAAACTGCTTCACGGATTGGAACAATATACCTTAATGAATATGTTAAATATAATTCCCTAATCAAAAACCAAGGTCCTATGGAACAATGCATCCCTCCAGTTGGGGTAATCTGCCAGGACTGGACCAGTGGCTCTGCAGTGCAGACACAGATGCTAAAGGAGTACATGAGAATATAATGAATCTGGGAATGTCCATGAAGCAGAAAACAGAGGAAGATAAGGACATGTATAATCAGTGAAGTTAATGTCTGTTTTAGAACATTATAGAAATACAAAGATGTTGCTTTACCAGCTTAATTCAACACATTTTAGGATAGAGGGTTTCACTGCAAAAGGCCTGCTGGCTTTTCTACCTCTCAGTATCTTTCTGACCAGGCACGAAACTCAACTTTTTTTCCTCATTCCATTTCTTGTCCTTTTTTTTGCCCCACTCTTCTAACAAGCTCCTGCCATGGCTGCTCTTCATCTCCAGATTTGCCTGTCAGTTCATTCCCCAGCTAATGTTTCTTGTATGATCACTGGCTCCTCTTAGTGCATGACCTGCAGCAATACTGAAGGTGAGAGACCACTTCCATGACCCCTTTTGGGAAGCCAGGCACTACAACAAGCTTCACAGGCCAGAAAGAGTTAGGGAGGAAGTCTTATTCAGTCTTAAAGCTCTAGAATCAGGAACACTTGACTGAGATTGAACCTATGTGAGACTTAGCTGCCAAACGCTTTTGAAGTGCATAATTTTGAAAGTTTATGAAAA